TTTTATCATCACCAACAGATAATTTAGTGTGTATCCGAATTAGCCTGTATTAGGCTTTATGCTAACAACAGAGAAGCGTTGTGATGGAGGCGAAAGAGCTCTGCATTTGGAATCAGAGGTCCTGAGTTTGAATCTTGCCTCTTCTCTTTACTACCTTGTGATACCGGGCAAATCACTTTAACTCTCTGGGACTCAGTTTCCTCTTCTGTTAGAAACGAGGAGGTTAAAACAGGAGGACTTCTCAGGTCCTTCCCAACTCTAAATCTAAGCAGTAATCCCAATAGCTCACTGTTTAGTAGGACTTCAGAGTTTACAAAGCAACAGCTATGTGAGGCTGGTGTAGACCGTTTCAAACGAGGAAACGGAGGTGAAATGACCTGTTCACAGGTCTAGCAAACTCCAGAGCACGGAGTGGAAGTCGAATCCCATTCCGTGGACGCTGCTCCTACCGAGGGAGGCTCAGTTGTCTGAAACTCAACAAAAGTTCTCGATGAATTCTCCTTACAGAGTGTCACGAGCAAACCGCAACTTGAAGAGAAAGCACGCGGGGGAGTTCTGGGGAAGTCTTCCTGCCCCCGGAGATGCTCACAATTGAGGCCAAATTAAAAGGTGTACATAAATAAAAAGGGCAAAACCTCCGCTCCCTGGCTCAGAGCCCCATCCCCACCTGTCCAGTGGCAGGAGGTGCCTGTTCTGAGGCCGGTCCCAGGGGGCCTACCCGAGCTGCGAGGGCGCAGAAGTTACGGGGAAAGGGGCCAAGGGGCGCAGCAAAGCACGCCCCACTGGAGGGCAGCTGGCCGCCTGCGACCTCTAGAACTCTAGGACCGGACAGCGGGGGCTGGTGGCTCAGAGAGCTGCAGGGACCTGGAGAGGAGGGCGGCGGGAGGGGAGTGGGCGGGCAGCCCCTCCCTGGGATGACGTTCCTCCAGCCCTGGGGTTCCGCAGCCGGTCTATCCGCTCTCTGCCTCCTCGTCCCTCCCCGCCGGGGCCGAAAGGACGGCGGCGCCTCCCGGAGTTTCCTGTCCCTAGGGTTCTCTCCAGCCCGCGGCCGGCCGGGATGCAGCCCGGGTAATTGGGGAGCAGGCTCCCTTCCCACTTAGAACGATGCTGGGCAGCAGAAGGGAGCCAGGTCGGAGTCCTGGGTAGCAGGAGAAACAGGGAAGAGGGGAGGGAAGGAAGGGTCCGGAGAAGAGGTTCCAGGCGCCAGGAGGAGCGATGGAGCCGGGGCCCGTGGACGCCTGGGACCCGTACCGCCGCCCGGCTCGCCGTACGCAGTGGCTGGTCAGTGCCCTGGCCCATCACTACCGTCTAGACCGAGGCGTGGAAAACGAGATCGTGGTGCTGGCCACCGGGCTGGACCAGTACCTGCAGGAGGTCTTCCACCACCTGGACTGCAAAGGAGACGGCCGCCTGCCCGGGGAGGACTTTCGTGTGCTGTGCAGGGTGCTGGGGCTACGGCCTGGGGCTGGTCTAGGCGCTGAGGGGGGATGCAGCGAGGAAGAGGAGGACGAAGAGGAGCGCGCCGCGCTCTGGGACGACCTGGCCCCGGAGCTCACCTTTCGCCAATTCCACGCCCGCCTCTGTGGCTACTTCAGCACCCGAGCCGGGGCACGGGAGGGTCCGGAGGGGAGCCGGCTGCCGGTGGGGCCTGAGAGTGAGCACATCGAGACCCAGATCCGGCTGCGCAGCCCCCTGCGCCGGCGCCGGGAGCGGCCCGGGGCGTCTGCTGTCCCGGCTGCGTCCGGGCGTACAAGGAGCTCCCCTCCAGCCACAGCAGTCTCCTGCACGGGCTCTGCGGGCTGTTCGAGGGAGTGCTACGAGGAGGTAGTGGCCCTGGAGCAGGCGGAGGACCGGGTTGCCAAGCTGGAGGAGGAGAACGCCAGCCTTCGGGAGCTGGTGGAAGACATGAGAGCCGCCCTCCAGAGCAGCGACGCACGCTGCCTGGCACTGCAGGTGAGCGGGCTGAGCCCGAGGGGCCCAAGGAGGAAGGGAAACCAGTACAGTGCGCCTCGGTCCTAACAGCTTTTTCTAGATAGTCCCATGCTGCCAAGGGTTAGACTGCCCCCGAGGCCTCTGACTTTGGTTATCTCTTGGGCATCAGAATCCTGGTGAGCTGGGAAAAAACACCAGATTTAGGAGCCGGCAGAACCCCGAGCCTATACCCAACCTGACACTAATGAGCTGTCTGGCCCAGGCTAAGTCCCTTAACTTCTCTGGCTTTCAGTTTCCTTGTCTAGAAAATGGATGTAATAATAGCTAACCCTGCCAATCTCGCAGAGTTCGTGAGTACCAGGGCATATGAAAGTGCTTTAGAAGCTCACTATACCGTCATCTGAAGGCGTCATTGTTTTCAGCCAGGGGAATAGCGAGAGGCAGTGTGTTATAGAGGATGGCAATCTGCTTTTAGAGCTAGAACGGCCTGAGTTCAAATACCTCCCCTGACACATAGTGGCAGCGTGTCACTGGGTAAGTCACCTCCCCTCTATCCACAGTGCCTGGCACATACTGAGCTCTTAATAAATGGTTTCTTCCTCTCCGTGCCCCCATGAAATTCTCTAAGACTATAAATTGCCATGAAAGGTACCCTTGCTAGGGGGAGTTTTTGAGTGGCAGCTAAACCCAAACCTGCAGCTCTGCAAATGCCTCGTGTTTGAAGTTGATCCACGTTGTGCATGGTCCCTCCAAGGCTGCAGGTCTCAGCCCATCTCATTTTCTTTGTTTCCATTAGTATCCTCACAATGTCAAGAGAACTAGAAGGTTCTTTTTCTTCCTTGTCTCTTCCTCCCCTCTCCCCCCACCCCCAGCTCCCAAAGTGGACCTGATTTCTGAAAGACATGGACACAAGAGTTACGAAGATGGGGAGGCAAGGACGCCTTGGTTGCCAACTGCACCCTTGAAGGGACACCCACATAGATGAGATCACAAATCCGTTGAAGTACTGAAATATATAATTAATAATTATATATAATATTTCTGTGTATGTGTTCTGTTTGGTTTGAGATGTTTGCTTTGATGCTTACATCAATCTAGCTTCACTACTAGTCTTCCCATGAAAAAAATGATGAATAGCCCCACTCCTCCTCCACATAACTCACCTGGGAGGAGCTGTCCTCTCTCTAAACATTTTCTGATTCACACTTTTTCTGAAATTGGAGAATTAACTATTTTGACTTTTCCTCCTTTCGCCTGCTGGGCTACACACTGCACATGGGTAGTGTGAGCAGGAATTCTGTTCACCTACAGATTGTCTATCAGAGGCATTTGTGTGATCAGAGAGCCAAGCAGCAAGAATTCACAAGGTAGGGCCTCTGCTAGCTCTGAGGGCAGTGCCTGGCACGGGGTAGAGTCCTCTGTTGAGTTAAGAAAACTTTGAAGAGATGGGAGTTTAAGTTCAAGTACAAAATAATTCAGTGATGTCAACATGACCCAACTATTCATCCCTACCATGTAAATGGAACTGGTGTTTCAGCCAGAGAATTGCTGGGATCCTATGCCCAGATTTAAGGCCAGGGACTGCTCCTTCTGAGCATTGCATTGTGCTGAAAGAAGAGGTCAGTGCTTCTAGCATGCTGAAATACAAGGAGCTGGTATTTAATACAAAGTCCAAACTGCAGCCCAGGCTCACCACAGCTCCCCGTAAAAGTGGCTTGTTAAATCTTTGTGAACAAAGCGAGCTAAGAACAAGTTGTTTGTTTCATTGATCTGCGACTTCTTTGTAGAATGTCAAAAATGACCCTTAGAAATCATCTAAACCAAAGTTGTGGTTTTACAGATGAGGAAATTGAGGCCTCAAAAGGAGACTAATATGATTAGCACTTGTATAGTGCTTTAAGATTTGCTGTGCTTTTTGAAAGTGTTCTCATTGGAGCCCTACGATAGCTCTGTGTCAGATACTACAGGTACTATTTATTATTATCTCCACTTTACACTTGAGGAAACTGAGGCTCAGATAAATTAAGTGACATGCATGCTCTGGTCACATAGCTCTCCATGTCAGAAGTGAGAGGGAATCCCAGGTCTTGATGTAGGACTAGCATTCAATGGGAAATATTATGCTGACTCCAAAGGGACGTGAATGATCTGCTGCATATTTGGAAGTATTCGCCCTAGTGCTGGGGTTAACAGGCTGGTTTTTAAAACACGGTAGAAATGGATCAGGGCTTTTCTTAAACTTATTCACATTTCTGAGTTGGGAGAAGATATACCATAGCAATAAACCACCTAACTATAACATAACATCAGTTTTAGATCCAATTGGGAAATATTTCTTAGAAATACATAGGGTTATGTGTGTTGTTTTTAACTGAGTGCCAGAAATTTAACTGAAATCTCCAGGAAAGTACTTGTGGTTTTTAATGTCTTTTGTGTGTTGGTTTGAAATCCGATCTAAGACAAACACCCCCAGTGGGTCCCCTTCCTGCTAGTAACTTATACGATACTGCATTTATCCAGAGGCTCAACATTAAACTTTTCTTTCCCTTGCCCCTAATTGAAGAGCTGAAGCTGGGGTGCCAGGCAATTTGAATTATTTGCTACAGCCTATATCATTGTCTTCCCTGACATTTAGCCTGGCATATCAGTGAACATCTGGGGAATGACTAGATGAACCAAGTGCTATAGCTTTTCATAAAGCCCTTTAGTGATAAATCCATTGTTTTGACACAACAGACGGACACTTGCCAAGAAACACCCAAAAAAGCCCCTTTGCAAAGTACATTCGAACACAAACGAAAACAGTTTATTAATTGCTTACAGTGAAAAAAGGGACATATTTTGACAGTACAATGCTAACACTGTTATTTCATCAGTTTTGTTGCCTTTCAATGCTGACTTCATTTATGCTGTTTCTACAGGCTTTTTGCCCCTGCCATACGGAAGGAAGGTTTCAAGTGGTATTTATAGACAATGTTACAAGATGTTTTCCTCACAATACAACCTCAGGATAGGTAGTACTAGCATTAATGTCTCCATTTTACAAATCAGGAAGCTGTGGCTGAGTGGGTAAGTGAATTACCCAAGGTTATGCTGACTGATAAGCAGCATGTTTGGAAATTGAATCCAGATCTCCTCAGGCCATTTCTCCTTTGACCAAACTGCACAATACAGGGCCTTAAAGGTCAGAGAACTGAGAAATATGAGTGGCTTCCTACAGACACAGCATTTCTAGCTGAAGGGATACGTAAAGGTCATCTAATACGGTAGTTTCCATTTAGCGGTCCTTGAACCTTTTGGGAACTTAATGGTTCAAAGAGTTCAAGCTAAGAATTCTTTAACTTCACCTTAAGTGGTAAATAATTACAAAAAAATATGACAACTTGTATATTAAATTACCCTGAGGGCTCATAACACATTTTGTTGTTGTTGTTGAATAGGGTTCGAGTAATTTCTAAAATATGAGAACCCCTGATCTGATCGATTCACTCTTTCATTTTATAGATGAGGAAACTGAAGCCTAGAGAGGCCAGTTGGCTTAATCTAAAGTTACCTGGGCAGTAGACAGGAGAGGTTATAATTCAAATTTAGGGCCAATTCTGGATTTAGCAGGGACAAGATAACTAGTTTCAAGTAGTTGATGGGCTCCGAGGAGGAGGGAGTAACTTGGTTGGCCCCAAGGGTCACAGAAGTAACAAATAGCAGGGCTAGAGTTTGAACCCAGGTCCAAAGTGTCTCAGGATGATCAATCAAAACATATTTTTGGTAGGCACTATGCTAAACATGTAAGATACGCAAGCTATCTGGTCCCTGCCCTCCAAGAGTTTGCTGTTTCATAGATAATAATTTTTTTCCCCTGATTAGAGAGTAATTAAGGGCAAAAACGATCTGGGAGAGATTAGCAAAGGCTGGAGTGATAAGGCTTCAATCAGGTTGGCAGATGGCGAGAAATTGACCTGTGCTTTGAAAGATAGGTAGAATTTCTATAAAAGAGGGGAGGACATTTCTGTTTTTCTTACACATATTCTGCTATCTAGTGACACAGCTCTTCTTGCTCTTCCTTGAACACAACACTTTCTTGAGTCTGAGTGTTTTCACTGGCTGTCCCCCCCATTCACCCACCCCCCGACCCCATGCCTAGAACTCTTTCCTCATCTCCTCCTCCTCCTGGTTTCCCTGGTCTCCTTCAAGTCTCAGCTTCTCCAACCTGCTGCAAGAAGCCTATCCCAGTCCCACTCAGTCTTGGTGCCTTCCCTCTGAAACAACCCTTAGTTTATCCTGTGTACATAGCTATGTAGTTTGCATGTGGTACATGTATGTAGCTATGTAGTTTGTGTGTTGTCTTCCTCATTAGATAGCTTCATGAAAGAAAGGACTGGTGTTTGCCTTTTTGTATATCCTCAGCCCTTAGCATAGTGCCTGAAACATAGTAGGCACTTAATAAATATTTATTGACCAATTTACATATACATGTGTATGTACATGTGTGTATATATATATGGTATGTATATGTATATGTGTGTGTGTATTTCAGACGAGGGGGGGATTGCCCAAGAAAAGGGACGGGGGGGAGGTGAAAATGAGTATGATATTTCTGAGCAAAATAATTCTGAATTCTTTTTTTAATTTTAATTTTAAAAATAAGTATGGACAGCACACTGTTTTTCATATTTATAATAATCTCCAGCATATAATAAACACTTAATAAATGCTTTTCTATTAGTTCATTCATTCACAGTACAGAATGGGGAGAGGCATCTCATAATCAGACAGCAGTAGGATATTACTACAAAAAGGCTGGCTAGAATTCAGCAATTTAATTAAAGCTTGCTAAGTGCCTGATGTGTTCATGGCATTGAATTAGTTGCTAGAGGCAGGAAACACAAAGCAGCCCCTACTTTCATGAAGGTTACATCCTGCAGTTACATTATATGACAATGAAAAGAGATTTGGGGGGAAGAAGACAGTCCTAACACCTAGGGGGCTCAGGAAAGGCATCCAGAGCTGAGTCTTAGAGAAAGTCCATTCTGGTCCTAGAGGGTGGCCCATGCAAAGAAACTGAGATGGGAGGTAGGAGATGGAATTCTGAGCTCCAGAGAATACCAAGTAGGGAAGTTTGACTGAAACATATGGTGCATGAAGGTGAGTAGTGTGAAATAAATCTAGAAAGGTAGGCTAGAGCCTGTGGGCAGCTAGGTGGTGCCATAGTGCACAGAGCCCCTGGGACTAGAGCCAGGAAGACTCATCTTCTTGAGTTCAAAATTGGTCTGAGACACTTACTAGCTGTATGACCCTGGGCAAGTCACTTCACCCTGTTTGCCTCAGTTTCCTCATCTGTAAAATGGGCTGGAGAAGGAAATGGCAAACCACTCTGGTATCTTTGCCAAGAAAACCTCAAGTGGGGTCACAGAGTCAAACACAACTGAACAGAGCCCGATTGTGAATACTTTAAATACCAGGGCAAGGAGTTTGTATTTTATTCTGAAGACAATAGAGAGCCACCACTGGAAATGTTTTATTAGAGGAGTGACATAATCAGACCTGTGTGGTAGGAAGATTCTTTTGCCTCCTTGGAAGCAGGGAGACCTACTTGGAAGCCACCATTCCAGACTCAGTCGCAAGCTTCCTCTTCTCTCCTTGAGCTCCCTCCGTCACCCTCTCTACTTCCTCTCTCAGGAGAAGGCTTTGCCTCCTTACAGTAATCCAAGTAAGAGATGATGAGGGTCAGAACTAGGAGAGAAAGTATATATAGATTTCAAGGTCATCTACACAGAGATTATGATGGAACCTCTCAGAGTTGATGAAAAGGCCAAGAAAGAGGAAGTGTAGAGGGAGAAGACAAGGTGTCCCTGGACAGTCTTAGAGGATACCCACAGCTAAAGAACAGGACATTGATAAGTATCCAACAAAGGAGAGTCAGAAACAGTCAGAGAGGTAGGAGGGGAGCCAGAGGAGAGCAGTGTCACAAATGCAGAGGGAGGAGAGAGTGTCCAAGCAGAAAGGCTGATGAACAGTGTCAAAATCTGTAGAGGTCAGGAAGGATGAGGTCTGAGAAATAGACCATGACCTTAAGGATGGGACCAAAAGAAAGTGGGGCCACAAACTAGGGTGAGAGAGAAAGATAAGAAGAAGGAAAAGAAAGAAGGAAGGAAGGAAGAGGAAAGGAAGGAAAGAGGGAAGGAAGGAAGGAAGGAACATAGTATAGTTATTAAGCACTTACTGTGTTCTAGGCAGTGTTGGGGGTACAAATACATGCAGGTAAGACAATCTCTGCCCTCAGAGACCTTACATTCTAATGGAGGAAGAAAACACAATAAAGGAGAGTTTGAAGTGAGGGAAGGTACGGAAGTGACTACCTAGTATAGAGATGACTGGGAAGTGCTATGGAGGCTGGCTCCAGAGAAGTTAAGACAAAAGTTTACCGATCAGAGTCAAAGAAACAGAGATAGTGCGTGAGGGTGCAGTTCAGGGGAGATGAAGATGATAGCTGGTGTATACTCAGCATACTGATGAGATGCTAGGAGGTGGCATGAAAGCTTGTTTCCAAGAAAGAAGAAAATGAAGTTAGTTCTTATGCAGTCTTCTGAGTGGGACAATATATCCCTTTAGAGAATTAAAAGATGCTACCTTATCTAAGCAAGGTGACCAAGCTTTGTCCCAGGACAATGGGATTATGTTGCAGTCTATGCTTGTAGTCAAGGTGGAAATAACTGAGTTTCATACTTTGCTAGTAAGAATAATTAGTTAAAATAGGAAACGACCAAATAGAACACTTTCTTCCCCAGCTATCCTACCTCAGGTAAGCTCCCTCCCAGACCCACACTACCCCTCCTCTCCCAGTCTCTACAGTGGAGAGGCTTTAGAGTGCCCCAGGGTCTCTGTCTCCTCCCCATGGAGTTGTGTCTCCCCAGCCAAACTGAATTTGCCATAAAAAGCTATTCTACAAGGCATGTTTTTGTGCTGTGTGCTGTAACAACAACAAAAATGGTTAGTTATAGTTATCTTGCTATCTTCACTTCCTGTGGATAAAATGCCTTCATCTGGTGGTTCGGTCACTTCTCTCAGGTTCAAAGCAGCCATCCAAGAAGTTAGTCTGTGTGTTCTTTCTGAATCAAGCAGATGCCTTAGCACCTGGACAGAGCATTTAGCCAACTGACCAGGAACTTAGCCAAGGAAGGAGCACTGGCCTGGAAGTCAGAGAAACTGGTCTAAAGTCCTAGCACCGTTACATATTTGCTCTAGGAACTTGGGTCAGTTACTGATCCATTTTGGGCCTCCATTTCCTCATCTGTAAAATCACAGGATGATCCACTTTCTGGAAAGTCAATACACTATAGTGGAAATAGAAAGAGTGTTGGATTTGGAGGACCTGGGTTCAAATCCCAGCTCTGCCATTACCTTTGAGCAAGTCACTTAGCCTCATTTGTAAAATGAGATGGTTGGACAAGATGAATCTCAGAGCGTTGTTGGAAGGATCAAATGGAATAATATATACAAAGAGACATTGTCCACTGGAAAGTGCTAGATGGATGTTAAAGTTTATGAAGTGAGAGGCTGAAAATGCCACTGGCTGAAAATGGAGTAGGAGGGTGAGGGAAAGTGTTAAAACTCCAATATGAAACAGAAGCTTTTTTGTCTCCCTATCTCGCCCCTGGTAGGTGGGACTCTGGAAGAGCCATGCCAGTCACAAGCAAGATGGCAACTGCTTTCCTGGGCCCAGGATGCTGTCAGGCCATGGGACCCCCCAGCCCACCAAAGACCTACAGAGCATGCTAAAGGAAGTGGAGCTGATCCGGAGCTCCAGGGATGGTCAGATCGAAGAGGCGATTCAAGTGAATCAGGAATTGGCCAAGGAGTTAAGGCAGTGCCAGGAGGCCCTGGCGGCCTCTGAGGACTGTAACCGCCACCTCAAGAAGGAGCAGGCAGAAATGAGGAAGAAAGTGGAAGAGGCCAGGCAGGCAGTACTGAGCGGCCTGGGGAAAGTGAGGGAGCTGGAAGCCCAAGCCACCCAAGTCCTACATCTACAGATGTGCGTCCAGCAGCTGGAATTAGAGCTACAGTATTACAGGTACGGTCTGGGGATAAACTGGCAGGCAGGATCAATGGCGGACGTTGACTAGGGGCCCACTTCATACGAGTGACAGGGCTGAGTGCAGGGAACACAGAGATAGGTGTGATTCATAACACTGTTCTCCAGTGTAATAGGACGGAAAGAGAGGCTTGTTGTGAGCATGCATATCAAGTGTCTACCCAACCCTGAAGCCTTGTTAAAACCACTAGCCATTGTTATCAGGGCTTGTCCTGGGAGGCAACTACTTCAGATCTAGTCAGCAAGTCAACAAGCATTTGTTAGGGGCTTACTACGTGCCAGGCACTGTGCTAAGTGTTAGGGATAAAAAAAAAAGGTAAAAACATGGCCCCTGGCCTCAAGGAGCTTACAAGAGAATCTGTCTATCTATCTATGTATCCTTCTATCTATCCATCTATCCATCCATCCATTTATCCATCCTTCTATTATTTCTCTATCTATCCATCCATCCATCCAACTATCCATCCATCCACCTGTCTAACTATCCATCTATCTATCTATCTATCTATCTATCTATCTATCTATCTATCTATCTGTCTATCTGTCTGTCTGTGTTGGTATATACAGATACATATATGTGTTTACACATATGAAAGCTTGTAAGTGTGGGTATATATGTATACATATACATATACACATGTATGTACAGATATCTATAAATTTATTTGTACATTATTATTTTATTATATTATATTATGATTAATGTTAAATTTATTTGTATATATTGTACATATAAATTTATTTGCATATTTCTCATGCCTCACCCATGAGAGTATAAGCTCATTTTGAGTACATGTTGTTTCATTCTTTGTCTTGTATCCCTAGCACCTGGCACATATAGGTGCTTAATAAGTATGTGTTGATTGAAATGAAAAGAAAAGACATATGCTTAACAAGCATTTATTCAGCATTGACTATATGCCAGGTATTGTGAAGAATGTTGGGGATATAAAAAGGAAATGGTGCCTGCCCTCAGTTGAGTAAGGCTTCCTGGATGAAGTGGTGCCAGAGCTGGACTGTGAAGGACGTGAGGGACTCACACAAATGGAGATGGGGGAGGAAACATTTGGGAGACATCAGGACAGAGGGAGCAAAGACAGAATGGGAGAGGACAGGATGAGAATGAGAGATGGACAGCAATCCAGTTGGCAGGAATTTAGAGTAGACAAAAAAAAGGTGTTGTGAGAGATTGGAGTCAGACTGACACCATAATAGAATTTTTTAAAATAAATAAACAGATAAGGAAAGGAGTTGAATACTGTGTAATTATAATCAAATTTAGTCCCGAAGAGAGGAAAAAATGTACCTCCTCTTCTTTCCAGGGGGATTAATGATGTAGAATATTATGTATACTATCAGACTTAGTTGATGTGTTGATGAGTTTTCCTAATTAGCTGTTCCCCTTCTTTTTTTATCTTTTGTAGAAGGGACAATTCTATGGAGGGGAGGGTGGAGAGTTATATTAGAAATGAAGGTGATGTAAAAACAAAAGTTATAATAACTAAAAAGAAAAATATATAATTTCAGTGCTGCAAGAAACCTCATAAACTTGACTATATCAATGTATAACATATGTCCTGGAGCTACTACCCCAAGTTATACTCACGCTGGTGGGTTGGGTTGGTGGCTATATATGTCCCTCCTGGTCTCTAGGGCAACCCTTGAGGGATTGGAAGGTGCCTTTTCTAGGGCTACAGCTCATGAGCCCCCACCAGTGTGCTTCCCAACATGACTGTCATTTGATTGTCTATTTAGCCAGACAGACTTAAGCTGATTTTAAAAAGGGGTATTCACTAAGGTGATATAGTAAGAAGAGTTGGTACGAAACATCATACACACAACTCCACACACTCTTCCACCAGTACATAGAGAATCCAGGGAAAGGTGGACTCAAGGACCTAAGTCCTTTTTCTCCCCTTCATGTAGTGCTCAAGAGATTCCCCCTAGGCATAGTTTAGTGTCTTTGCTGGATCTTCATGGTGAATCTGCTTCCCTGAGCTGCACCCTGCTAATACTCTCTTCGTGTACAAGGCTAGGATACTGATGGGAAATCCCAACCCTCCGCACCTTTTGAGGTCCTCCTTGAGCCAAAGAGAGGCTGGGGAAGGAGATTTAGGCTGAGGCCAAAGCCAAAGCTTCTTCCTCCTCCGAGGTTTCCTAGAACTGCTTCTGCCCTCATCTCTGGAATTACTCTGGTTCTCAACTATCTCTGCAGAGCATTTGGTCAGTGATTTCTAGGGCATGACCACATTTCCTCAGCATGTCCAAACTCATTCCCGCTCAACTCCGCTCCATTTCATTCAAGGACTCTTCCCACCGAGCTGAAAGCCTGTACTTGATTGGTTAAGGTTTGCCCTCAAATCCTTCATGGATCAGGACACTTTGTCACTTTAAATGGGGAAGGATGATTTCACTGATTTTCTCAATCAAAACTACCCTTAAAAATGCAATGTACTACTCTAGTTTAACTAAGAATGACAGATGTGAGGAAGAGAGACATATGGAGATAGTTATACAAACGAATGCAAAGGAAAGAAAGCAAAATCAGAAGACCGGGATACTGACTGATTATACAAAATACAAAAGGAGTTGCCTGTGACTTCAGGCAAGTCACCGCTGCTCACTAGGCCTCAGTTTCCTTTTCTGCAAAATAAGAAGATAATACCTATATGCTGTTCCTTACATAGTTGTGGTGAAGATTGAACGTGATGGTAATAAACATTTGCATGTTGCTTTTAAGTTTGCAAAGCATCCTATGTCCATTGTTCCTCTTGATCATCACAGCAATCCTGTGGCCTACATAATGCAGATGTGATCATCCCCCATTTTAAAGATAAGGAAAACTGAGGCTCAGAGAGATTCGATGACTTGCCCACGGTCATGTAGCTTTGAAGTAGGAGACGTGGGTATCCCAACCTCAGTTTAACAAACTTTCAGGCCTTTGTGTCCCCAATGCTTGCATTCAGTTGGCATGTAATAAGCGTCCTTTGAACTGATCTGAAGAGTGACCCAGCATTTGGTGGGCATATGGGGAGATAAGGAAGCTGGCTGCAGGCAGGCCACTGCTGATATGTACAGGCTTACAGCAATTCTTGCCTTGCTCTCCACCAGGGAAAAGCATCTGGGTTGGGACCAGGGAGCTGGGAAGAAAGTTAAGCATTTATAGAGTGCCTACTACATGCTAGGGACCACACTAAATGCTTTACAAATATTACCTCATTTGATCCTCACTATAACCCTACAAGGTAGATACTGTTGTTATCCCTATTTTACAGTTGAGGAAACAGAGGCAGAAAAGTTAAGTGACTTGCCTAGGGTCACATAGCTAGTAAGTGTTTGAAGTGAATTTGAACTCAGGTCTTTCTTTCTCTGAGCCCAGCACTCTATACACTGTGCACCTAGATATCTAATTAATCAGCAGACTTTGGGAGGCAGAGAACAGCCCTTTGAGGGTAGACAAGGGGATCTTCCTTAAAGAAGAAGGGACTAACAGATATTCAATAATTTATTTTCTGAGAGGCAGAATAATGGAGAGAATGATGGACTTGGGACTTCAAGAAACCTGGGTTCCAATTTTCCTTATCTCGGTAATAGGTATAATACCTGTAGTATCTACCTCGTAAGACTGTTGTGAGGTTCAAACGAGGTAATAGATAGAATATACATTTTATGCATATATATGTATACATATACTTAATATACATTTTATTATATACTTTTAAATCCTACATAAACATAAGTTCGTTGTTGTGAGTCATTTCAGTTGTGTCCGACTCTTCATGACCCTAGTTGGGCTTTTCTGGGCAGAGATACTAGAGTGGTTGGCCATTTCCTTCTCCAACTCATTTAACAGAAGAGGAAACTGAAGCAAACAGGGTTAAGTGACTGGCCCGGGGTCACATAACTGGTAAGTGTCTAAGGCTGGATTGGAACTCAGGAAGATGAGTCTTCCTGACTCCAGGACTGGTGCTCTATCCACTGCACCACCTAGCTGTGCATATATAAATGTTAATTATCATTATCCAAAATGAGGACCTTCAGGAATGGTACTGTACTATCTGGAATGAGCGTGATACACAAAAAGTGTAGCACATGGTCCTTTTTCTCCAGTACATTGAAGTTTAGATGGGGAGATGACCTATCCTTACTGTCCACGCATAAAGAACCTGGAGCCTGCCTCCGCCTCTCTAACTCCCTTCTTACCTTGGTGAGTTCCATCCAGTGCCTCCATTTTGAAGATGGGCCTGGGCTATCCGTGTTTCAAAGCCCTCCTGACTTTGCATGTGGCCTCCAGAGCATTACTCAGCTGCCCTTTGACCCTAGAACCCCCTAAGTGCCTGGGACTTTCTCACCTTGGAATATCCCTCAGTCTCTCCCCTCCCCTTCTTAATGTGGTGAGTTCCTCCCAGGGCCTCCATTTTGAGGACAGGCCCAGATGTCCTTGCTTCATTCCCTCCCAACTTTTAAGACTTTACTACCATACCCCTCAAGAGTACTTTCTCTCTCCTCGCCCCCCAGCCTTTCAGGCCTCTTTTGTATATTGTCTCGCCATTAGAATGTAAGCTCGTTTAGGGCAGAGACTGTCTTTCTGCCTTTATTTGTATGCCCAGCACGTAGTACAGTGCCTGGCACATCGTAAGTGCTTAATAGATGCTCCTTGCCTTACCAGGTGCTAAAGTGAGTAGTGTAGACAAACCCAAGAAGGGAGAGTGTGTCTACTCCCTTCCCTCCTACAAGTGAGCTAAGGACTCTTCTTCCAAAGCCGAATTCAGTCCTTCCTAGGTGATGGCATACATGTGAACATTGGTTGGCGAATGTTTGCCAGGATTCTGATTCAATCCAATGAGCAGCATCTCTTTTGAGAAGTCTCTGGTACCATAGTACTAATAATCACTTAAAGAGAATGTCATCTCTCCAACCCAGCTGACCCAGCCCTACTCCATCAGAGGGCAGCCTCAAGTCGATGGGCCCAATGCTCT